GTATCATGTTTCTCTTTTCCCTTTCTATTCCTTGCCTTTAGATGACCTTGCCCAAATCATTTGCCTTAGGGCACATTTTGGTGCAACTCATGGTTACTGGTTAGTCTTAATCACCAGGTATCTGACCCATGTGGACACTAGATTATTAGTCGCAAAATTATTATAATCATAACTAAATGCTAAGCCCACAAGGGTCAAATATATTCACAAAAGAATATGGTAAATCATGTGGGCAACAGAATTAATACACAGTCCAGTAAGAGCCTTTTGATCTGTTCATCTCTCCTTTTTCTCACAAGTCATTTTCCCATAGTTCACTCACATACTCATCCTTCACTCTGTTCATGATGGCAGCTTCAGCATGAGCCTGGGTACAGTTTATATTTATTATTTATTATCACACTGGCCGATTCCCACCAAGGCAGGGTGGCCCGAAAAAGAAAAATTTTCACCATTCACCATCAGTTTATGTGTCATTTATAATAAGGTAAACAAAGCTTAAAAAGAAAATAAAAGCTATTGTGAAAAACTAGAATAGTTATTCTTGTTATTTTTAATATTCTAATAAAACTAACAAGGGTAAAAAATTAACATGTATATAAAAAGCACACATCATTTATTTATTAAACATATGGAGTGATGATAAAACACTGAGTTTAAAGAAATGATGTCACTCATGTTCATGTTAAATGGTACTGAGGATAACAATAATCAAAGTACATATGGAAACATAGTAAGCCTACTCTGTGCCCAAATGTATCATGTGAACACCAGAGATTAACATATATTAGGCTGGCTAGGGAGAGAACATCAAACTGGCAATAAGGAATGATGAACATGTACTTTAGTATATCTCAAAATTTCTTCTCAAAGCAGAACATTTATAAAGGCAAGAACTCTTGTTCTAAGTTATCCTGATAAGTTTGTAATGGGTCCTCTTGCTTTAATGCCCAATAATCACCTAACGCTACAAAACCTTTCATGTCAGCTATAATGAATTAGTTAGGGACTGTACCCAAAGTTTGCTTGTATAATTATATAATTTTCTATCTTCAAAGGTGTCTTTATTCTCATTATATAAAATATACAATTTGTAAGTCATCAGTCAAGTACAGATCGAGTCGAATCACAATCACTGTCACTATCTTCATATAAAACAATATTTCAGAAATATAGCCCCCCAAATCTACAAGAATAAACCATAATATTATATAACTTAGATTCTTTAATAGTTGCATCAAGTTTTAATAATTAAAACGAAGACATTCATGACCTCTTTGGAAATAATGTTAGCTTGTGTGTTCAACATTTTACTTGTTAAAAGGTTTATTGAAAAAAAAATTTCCACATTTGCTCCTGCAGAATCTCTCTCACACAGACATCACATTTTTCTAGACTTTTTTTTTTGGCTACTTCTACCTACGTTCAAAATATTTATTTTCTTATATAAAAAGATTGAAAATTCGGAAACAAAATTTAACACTTAAAATACAAAATTTAAATTCCATGCTATTAAGAAAAGCATCCACATAAGTTATCAGGTCACAGTTTCTTACACTGTAGTTTAGAAGTACATTCTACTGAACTGAAGAATAGTTACTTAAATAAAGACTTCAGTCTGAGGTAGTAGAAATGCTCAAGTTGCTTATAAAAGCACAGTCACATGCCCTCTCTACCACACTTGTGATTCTTTTGGCTACACTTGATCTGGTATTCGTTTCGGTTTTATCAACAAAATCATAACTTTATATTTAATAAACACTTTTAAAACTTTTCCTAAATTTCAATGCTTTACTGAGGCAATCTTCATTCTCTATTCAAAGTTTCAACTCTCCAACATTCAGGGTGGGTCCAGCTCACTTTTTCAACTGGCAAGTTAACTTTGGTGAACTTCTTGGCAAATTTTTCTGAAATTGTGGTTAATTTTCGATATTTGAAAAAAAAAAAATTATCAATAGGCAACATGAAAAGATTTCTTTTATGACATCTTGCTTGTCAGAAGACATGTTAGGAGGGAGAATTTTGACTTGCATATTTAATTTCCTCAGATTATGCAAACACTGGACACAACCCCTGTGATAAATGTACTGTGTTCATATTTTTCTTCTTCTAGCATTTACGAATTATTACTCTCTCTTCTAACAACATCTTCATGAAGGGCAGAATAATGGAAACACTTTTGCAATTGGTTACAGACATTCCTGCATCATTTTTTTTAACATGTTTGGAAGGTCACTTGGGTGCTCTTCAGGACGAGGGACAGGAATGTTTGGCCGAAATTTGGACGGGGGTCAAATAGGTGAAGTTAATTTGTATAGACAATTTATAGAAGTTAAATAAAAATTGATGAAAATGTGTAAATACTAAATGTACGAAGGGTAGGTAAAAATATTCGGTGATATACACTTCATATAACGTAGTGTCACACAGAAGCATTCAAAGCACCAGTCACGAGCGACATGAAACTTGTGTACATACTCATATCCAAAGATTGAAAATGTTAATTCAAGCATGATCCATAACAATAGGAAGCAATGCTTCTTTGTAGATTTTTCCTGCTGTCAAAATTGAGCACTTTTTTTTTTTTTCAAATTTTTCTTAAACATTTAATTCTACCTTTAAAACAGGACTTGATAGCATAACACTTTTGAAGGGTATCACTTCACAGCTTAAATTAAGGTGATTTTAGAAAACGATCTGACAAAATATGAGGATGTAATCTATGGACGAGCATTCTTTGGTCAATAATGTTTACCGTTTGGAATGCTGCACAAGTAGTTTATAGAAACTGATATAACAAAAACTAATATTACTTAACACAATTTAATCCACTTCATATGTCAGTTGATTTTTTTCATATATATACATATTTCGTGACTTGCATGAGGATAGTGCAATGCAATCCACTCTCAAAGAATGGATTTTCTGTAACTATGAAGATAAAGGAAAAAATGCTTGTGTTTTGTCCTGTAAGATGGGAATAGAATATGGATTATAAAAACCTTTGGGATCCTTAATGCTACATGACACAGGGCACATGATGAACATGAGTGTATCTTTTCTTACCAACACAAGTTAGTGGAATATATAAAAAATCTGTTCCTTCTGGCTTACATACATACACTTTGACACACTTCTATTTTACTGGTGAATGCAGGAACTTTCCCATGAGCATCAATTAAACTATTATACGTGTAAAAGAAAATGATAAGTAATAAATGTGTCTTTAATTAACAGGCAGTGGGCACTGAAGGTCCATAGTGCAAGATCAACAAAATATTATTAATATACTTCAAAATAAACCATTCTTGGTATTAATGAGCAAAATCAAAGCTCAGAGGTAGGCTATAGAAATTATTGTCACTCATAAAACTTCTCCCTTGTGGAGCCGAGACCCCCACACAAAAATGGGAAAAGTTACAATGAGATGAATATATTTCTGCAATCACCAGTGTCAGCAAATGTGAACAAGGGGCACCGTTAAAGATGGGGAGAGTAGAGGCCGCAGTGGTCATCCATGTGTGCCGAGGACACAAGGACCATCATGACTAAGCTTGCGTGGTGATGACCATGTGTGCTGAGGACACAAGGAGCATCATGACCAAGCTTGTGTGGTGATGACCATGTGTGCTGAGGACACAAGGACCATCATGACCAAACTTGTGTAGAAAAGGTAAGTGTTACTGAGATATGGTTGTTTTGGAAGCATGATCTTAGGTAAGGTCAATGTAATGTAAAAATTAGTCATTTTAACGGTAGAGCAGTGGAGGCAAAACAAATGACAGTAGATGGTCTGGTAAGAAATGTTTAGTGCGCACGCGAGAAGTGTGCATGTGTACATACGTACGTACATGTGTGTGTGTGTGTGTGTGTGTGTGTGTGTGTGTGTGAGTGAGTGAGTTATGAGAGAGTTATGAGAGAGTGAGTTATGAGAGAGAGAGAGTTATGAGAGAGAGAGAGAGCTATGAGAGAGAGAGCTATGAGAGAGAGAGAGAGCTATGAGAGAGTTATGAGAGAGAGAGAGAGAGAGAGAGAGAGTTATGAGAGAGAGAGAGAGTTATGAGAGAGAGAGAGCTATGAGAGAGAGAGAGCTATGAGAGAGAGAGCGGAGCTATGAGAGAGAGAGTGAGCTATGAGAGAGGAGTGAGCTATGAGAGAGAGAGTGAGCTATGAGAGAGATATGAGAGAGCTATGAGAGAGAGAGTGAGCTATGAGAGAGAGAGAGAGCTATGAGAGAGAGAGAGAGCTATGAGAGAGAGGAGAGCTATGAGAGAGAGAGAGAGCTATGAGAGAGAGAGTGAGCTATGAGAGAGAGAGTGAGCTATGAGAGAGAGAGCGAGATATGAGAGAGTGAGCTATGAGAGAGAGAGTGAGCTATGAGAGAGAGAGAGAGAGAGCTATGAGAGAGAGCGAGAGTGCTATGAGAGAGAGAGAGAGCTATGAGAGAGAGAGAGAGTGCTATGAGAGAGAGAGAGAGAGCTATGAGAGAGAGCTATGAGAGAGAGAGCTATGAGAGAGAGAGAGCTATGAGAGAGAGAGTGAGCTATGAGAGAGAGAGCGAGCTATGAGAGAGAGAGAGAGAGAGAGAGAGCTATGAGAGAGAGAGAGAGAGAGAGTGCTATGAGAGAGAGAGAGAGCTATGAGAGGAGAGAGAGGCTATGAGAGAGAGAGAGAGAGAGAGAGAGCTATGAGAGAGAGAGCGAGCTATGAGAGAGAGAGCTATGAGAGAGAGAGCGAGCTATGAGAGAGAGAGAGAGAGAGAGCTATGAGAGAGAGAGAGAGAGAGAGTGCTATGAGAGAGAGAGAGAGAGAGAGTGCTATGAGAGAGAGAGAGAGCTATGAGAGAGAGAGAGAGCTATGAGAGAGAGCTATGAGAGAGAGAGAGCTATGAGAGAGAGAGAGAGAGCTATGAGAGAGAGAGAGAGAGCTGAGAGAGAGAGAGTTATGAGAGAGAGTTATGAGAAAGAGGGGGTTATGACAGAGGGAGGTTACGAGAGGTGGAGAGAGAGAGAGAGACTGATATGGCTACAGACCAGTAAAGAAGAGAATAATAAGAGGACATGGAATATAAAACATGTCATCTCCAACCTGAGAGCTAAGTTTAACCTTTTAATTATATACAACCATGTGTGTATAAAATGATTACTATGACCGCCTCTCACATAGATGCATATCTTTAATGCTTCAACACACCTGTGTAACACACACCATATCTTTCTTCCATTACCGAACACTCAAGGTGTATGAAGAATTTCCATCATCTCAATCTGAAATCTTTAGATCCGTAATTTTGAGATTCATACATTTTATAAAGTACCCACAATTACATTCAAATCTTACTCTAAAGCCATCTGTAATAAATGCAATGTCTAAGGGAATGATATAAAAATCAGACTTCACTGTCCATGAAGTTGCTATGACAATGTTGTACCCAAAATGTACATATGGTATCAGAAGATTTATTAATTTATCAATATGAATAAACCAGATAAAAAATGAACGTGTGTGGGATACACTTCACTACCGATGGGATGACCACTTACGGTGATACCTTAAATGAACATACATGAGCCAAATACTAATAATGAAAAAGCTTTACATGTGTTTACTACATAAGTGCAACAACTGGATTATTGGGGCCTGAAGGCTACCCATGTCCATCCTCATAGTTGGCACTAGTTTCCACACTGGAAAAAAACATAGCCACATTTCTCACATTAATTATTGACCTTAAATGTCAAAGCACCACTAGTCTTGCCTTTTCGCATGGACATAACTGTATCCATCTGAAGATTCAATGAAATCATCTTCACGCTCTCATCTTCAGTTTAGTTCATAATAAACCACTATGTACGATAAATAACATTTCTTCATTACAGTATGTGCAATCCTTCAGCAACACCTTCACACGTCAACAGATCATAAATATATGTTAAGCAATACTTCTCACTAAGGCCTGACACAAACTCAAAGAGTTAAACGTTATACCAGGGCTCCATTTCACAAACAAACAGCAGTGCTTGTCTGTTTGTTTACCACCACTTACTCACTGCCAGTGCTGTGGCTTTTCAACTCTTAAGTTTATATGTAATCTTTCCTTTTCTTTCACCGTGCCCACAAAACATCTCGTCCTCGTCGGTGCCACACGTCTCCATGCATTAAATGTGGTTGTTTGATTTGTGTGTGGTAACGAAGGGAACAATGTGTCATCACATCCGTGACTGGCAGCACTGAAGAAGGTTGTACACAGTGAGTGGCAGGCAGTCTGGAGAGCCCCACTTACAGCAGTATTATCACAAGTTTACTCCAGCGGTGGGGCTGAAGCTGAAACACATCAATCACATAATCAACATAACAAAATGCACATTAATGAAGCACCTACAACAATGTGTGCACATCAACTACAATTTGCATTCAGAACCCATACACAGAGCTATGAAACTTAAGTTAATACCGCCCAAAAAATCTCATTAACCAACTCTAAAAAAAATTTTTTAATGAAAAGTGTGGTGTGCTATATCCAGGACATTTACTCAAAAATGTAAAGCAAAGACAGTGTTATATTATGTCAGTTAAAATGTACAGCTTAATAATGCCATGGCATTACCTACGAAAAAAAATCCATTTTTTTTTTTAAGAGCAAGTTATTTAAGTACTGAATCCCTTCATATTTATCTCGGTAAGCAGAAGTCTGAATTAAAGTTTAACTATGAATGCAAAATACAACATATAATTAAAGATTAAACTATCCTGCTAAATATTTACAGCATCGACTGATTTCGGAATGTCTTAGTGTACGTACACAGAAAAAACTGTTAAGAATGATTTCTTTTAGGCAAAACTATGAAGATTTTTATTTAAGTATATGTATTTAGTTGATGACTGTCGCCGGGTCACCATCTGGAGAAGACCCGGGCCGGAAGTACCAGCAAATCTCTAATGAATGAATGTTGATGACTGTACTCCTAATGAACCAATATGAGAAGAAAAAATAATAGAAAAGATGGTTGTTACATGGAGTAATAATGGAACCCGAATCTTTCAATGACATATGAACAGATTAGTATTAGATTTATGGGGAAGCTCTAAACCCATGAGAGTTGTACAGTGACTAGGGAATGGGAGGTAATGAGGCGTGATGAAAAGATGCGAAGGTTACTGCAGTATGTACTATTTTCTCAAATCAAGAGCCCTTCACCAGCATTAAGGCAATCCCTCCTCACTGCAAGTCGGCAGATAACAGAGCAGAAAATACACAATGAATATGAATAATTCAGGGAATGGCAGGCAAGTCCTAAAACTCTCAGGCCAGTGTGTTAATCACTCGACCAGTCAGGTGGTCCAGTGGTTAACACACTGGCAGGCCATGGCTTCAAGTCCCACCCATTCTGTGATTGGTTTGCAGTTGTGTTATGATTTCTTGAGTCGTGAAAATAACACAAATGATACAGATCATCGATTACCCAGGACCTTCAACGAAAGGGTGTGTTTAATAATAATTTGTTTTATTAACACATCAGCCATTTCCCACCAAGGCAGGGTGACCCAAAAAAAAAAAAAAACTTTCATCATTCACTCCATCACTGTCTTGCCAGAGGTGCACTTACACTAGTTATAAAACTGCAACATAAACACCCCTCCTTCAGAGTGCAGGCACTGCACTTCCCACCTCCAGGACTCAAGTCTGGCCTGCCGGTTTCCCCGAATACCTTCATAAATGTTACCTTGCTCACACTCCAACAGCATGTCAAGTCCTAAAAACTATTTGTCTCCACTCATTCCTATCTAACATGTTCACGCATGCTTGCTGGAAGTCCAAGCCCCTCGCACACAAAAACCTCCTTACCCCTTCCCTCTAACCTTTCCTAGGCCAACCCCTATCCTGCCTTCCTTCCACTACAGATTTATACGCCCTGCAAGTGATGCTATTTCATTCCATCCTCTCAATGTCCAAACTACCTCAACAACCCCTCCTCACACCACCTAATTTCATTTTTTATAGTCTATTTACACATTCCTCTTCCATATCATTTTAGGTAATCTATAACAAAGATTGTCAGACATGACGAACATTAAATAACTGATGTTAATGTACCGAGCAAGCAATCTAACTGCTTGATAAAATTAGTTTGCAATGCTGCTGCAAGAAATCAGAATGGGAGGAAATATGTTTAATTACTAAGATAAGCAAAAATAGTCAAAGATTCATATATGAGAACAGAGTTAGCTCTTATCTAGTGCATATTTACATTTATATAAGCTACAATATTATAAAATTAAGAGGAAAAAATACAAACCACAATACCATATACAGTATACTTTAAATAATTCAAACTAGCCAGATATATAAACATGCAGTGTAGGCACGTATGCAAATAGTTTCTATGACAGGCAAATAAGAATCAATTAAGAATGAGGAAAACAATTAGGTGTATGTAGTAAGCAAGAGTGCCGAGACTACAAAAAAAAAGAAGAAACATGGAAGCTGACTGCCATACTCTAAGATGATTTATACTAAGTACAGTATGACTGAATGAGGTCACATGGTAGGAGGAGGAATGTTATACTCATCTTTAGTTACATATGGTACACTTCATGTGATTTTCTAAAAATATGTGAAATATTAACCCTTAAACTGTCCAAACGTAGATCTACGTTTTTTCAACATTTGAAAGTATGTAAAGAAAGGTAGATCTTTTTTTTTTTACATTTGAAAACGTGTAAAAAAAAACTGATCTACGTTTTTTTTATGTTTGAAAATATGTAAAAAAACGTAGATCTACTTTTGGCGCACTACGCATGTGAATGCAGATCTGCTTAGACAGTTTAAGGGCTAAAAAATTAAGAAAAATGTGCTAAAATATTATTTTATTGCGTAGTTCGATAATTCAGAGTGGGTGAAGCATTTTCTGACATACCTCATTAAGCTAAACTATGTAAATTATATTTATTAAACTAATAAGCAGGAGTGAATGGCCACTAGTGGCCATTGTGGTGGACATAGATAAGATTTTGCTACAATATAAAAGTGGACAATTATGTAACCAATGGACTACTACTGTTTTCAAATCAACTGATTTAGTGGATTTAGGCCTGTTTTCTGAAGTCCTAAATCAAAGCCCATTAACCCTTAAACTGTCCAAACACAGATCTATGCTCACATGCGTAGCGCTCCGAACGTAAATCTACTTTTTTTACATTTTAAAGCATGTAAAAAAATGTAGATCTACGTTCGGAGCGCTACGCATGTGAATGTAGATCTACGTTCGGAGCACTACGCATGTGAATGTAGATCTACGTTTGGACAGTTTAAGGGTAAATCAAAGGCATAATTTTTTCATGGTCCACCACCATCTGGTTATCACTTACTATTTCTAAATAATGCTAACTTGCTCTAACTCTGGCTATATTCCATTCCAATAAAATTTTAAACATCTCTTATGAAGCTCCTCTATAAAGGGCTTTCTTGTTAATGTGACTGAAAAGGTACATTAAAAATTGAATAGTGCACAGAAAGGCATTCACAGTATGTGTTGTTCAATTCTGAATGAACATTTTCAATTGCATTTAAAAAAAAATTATGGAGGAGCTTCATAAAGCTGATTGTAATCCATTTTCTATTTATCAATGAGCAGGCCATTAAGATTATCACTGGGCACTTTGCAGACCTAAAATTTGATTTTTGCTTGCCTTAAAAACAAAAATTAGAAGAGGTTGTTAGTGTATAATAATATGTGGAAAAAGACACTTATGTGTCTTTTTTGCCTACTGTGTAGGCGAAACGTTTCGAAATAAAGATACCTAACTGTTGCATATGTGTCTTACCTAACAACCTGTCTGTATTTTATACCATTTTAATGTTCAATAATATTCCAGCCTAGAATATCAACATTTCCATGGCTTTTCTTCTTTTCAAGATTATAGTTATCTAGGTTATCATTTTTCTTGCAGCTGTGATTAGCACTTACAATCCTTGAATGAGATTTTCACACATTATCACTCCTAGTCTCACATTAAAATTGTGCTCAGCTGGCTACAATTTTAATGTTCCAATTTTTATTTCCTCAATTTTTCTATAGAGAAATGGAAATTCGCAAACACTGAATATTACGTTGTCAGTGGCCCAATGAAAGGCTTGGTTTATGTCAGCTGTGGCCTCAAGGGATGCTACTTATACAAAATCTAGTATCATCTGCAAAGAACAATACAGTACACAAGTAACTGGCACACAGGAGAGAGAAGCTTATGACAATGTTTTGTTTGAACTTTTATAATTTACAAGTCGCAGTGTGACTTGTAAATGGTCCAAGTCAGATCAAAACATTGTTATAAGCTTTATGTTCCGATTATTTGTATATTGTTCCAGTCAAAGTGTTGTGTATTTGTTTTTTAACAATCCAGTACTTAGATTTACAGAATGTCTGTCAGATGTTAGAAAGAGGGTGAACTGGATGAAGGATTCCACTATATTAAAGGGATTATGGAAGAGTTCCAGGTTGAGGCACCCTAGGCATTATTAGAAGCATATTGTCAGTGCAACACAGCCAGGTCATGTGGGGGGGGGATTATTTATAGTGTTGTTTCTGGCAATTCCATGCCATCTTCTGTCAGTAGGTGGCATTGTTTTAAAGGTGAAGTAACTGAATTTGATGCAGAGTTCTGCAAGATCCCCAAAATCCTGCAAGGTGTAGGAGGATCAAGGATGAGCTGCATCTTTCTGCAGATTTGATGTTCAACGGTGACAAAGTTAAGACGATTAGATACGTGAAGAATGAAAAACTCAAAACAAAGACGATACAGAATGACAGAATTAAGAACCATCTCGTAGGATGCAAGAAACAGTTAAAATTTATGAAGAATAATATCAGATAATCTGTTGTTTAGTAAAAACAAAGTAAATGGAGCCAAGGCCCAAAAATAAGACAGTGTGGATAACAACTTTCAAAGCAAGTGAAATAATACCAATGACGACACATTTCAAATCACTTGTGCTCCTGTATAACTAGAATATTCCATGTTCAACACTGTTCACAACAAGATAGAGCTCAAAAATATAGCGACTGTTTACTGCCCTTAAAGAGTCTAAAGCATTTAATCTACTGGGAATGCCTCAAAAAGCACTTGGAATGAATTTTCTGAAGCAAAGAAGAGTGAGATACCTATACCTAATAATATATACTGTAATGTACCTGGACAATACTGGAGGGCCAGGTCTCAAATTTATACACTACCATAATTTACTGCAGTGAGATATGGGAAAAGTGCAAAATAAAGTCAGTGAAGAGAAGAGGTATCATTGGCACAATAAGAGAACACTAGTCAACATATGTGGCCCAAAACTAACCTACTGCCAGAAAATATCAGATATAATGACAGAATAAATGTAGAAATCTTCAAAAGGAAACTGGATAACTACCTCCACCAGGTTCCAGATCAACTAAGCTGTGATGATTACATGGGGGTCAATAGTCTGTTAACAGCATAAGCCTGGTTTAACAGGCAATTAACAGGAATTCCTATCACAGGTATATCAAGTAGAGAGAGATACTGCAGTCAGTGAGGACACTTGTAAACAGCCATTATATTTATCTACACTAGTTACTATGTTTCTTATGTTGACACCATGAGTCGAGCAAATGATCCAAGTTGCACATTTGGCCACTGTTAATGGTACCTAGGAGTTTTTACATATGATTAGTGAGTAGTTTTACCAGCTGGTGGTGCACAGTTGATGCCTGATGTAATAGGTCTCATCGGGAAGTTAATTTTGTGCGTCTTGGGGAGACCACACATTGTGACCAGTCTGGGGTTGCCAGGAATCAATAATAGCCTTTTCTTTGCCTTTCTCTGAGTGTTTTAAGATCCTGTGGGTATCATACAGGGACTGGTGGTTCTCTCTAATTCTAGTTGAGTAACAAAAGTGCTGGTATCATATGGCAGCAATACCTGCCATATGACAGTGAGAAACTGCCAGTGTATTACAAAAATTTGATCTAATACCCTCTGCTACTGTAAATATCGAGTGTATTTTTCTTCCTCCCTTCCAAAATATTCTTTCTAAAATAAAGTCACTCTCCATTCACCTGTGGTGAATGGACAGTGTGTATACATTTCTTCAAATTCTGATTCATTCCTTAACACATCATTTTTGCCCCATAAAGAAGGATCCTTAACAAATATATAAGGCTTCCATAAGTGAACCAAAAGAACATATTAAATCTATAAACATCTGATGCAACTAAGGTGCCAGGAGCAAAGGGCTAGTAACCACTTCTTCTGTATAAATTAATATACATAAAAAGAAAAACCTTTGTTTTCATTTTAGGTCACCCTGTCTTGGTAAGAGATGGCCAGTGCATTGAAAAAAAAAAATGAACATATGATGAATTTTTTCCCCTTGTACCTCCTTATTCAGGAAACAGCCATTTTTTCTTAAGATTTTATTCTGAAGTACTGTATGTAAATAACAAAGGAGCAATGGAATGAAATTTAGAAAAGGTAAATTAAATACTGCATCCAGTGTAGTCCATTAACTGCACCCACATAAATCTTTGACAAAGGCATGATGAGAGTGACGATGTATAGAAGCAGCAGTAGTTAAGAGGGAGAATGCAAGGTGCAACACAAACATACGTACCTTACACTATACAGCAGAGTTCTCGTGTCGTCTGCCGCCTGCAACGTTACAATAAAAGCTTTGTTGAGGCACTCGAGCAAGTGATCATTACCAAAGTGGTGTCCCTGCAGTGACTATCAGCTAGGCTCGCATCTTGTTTCAGCTGGGCATGACTATTCTGTGCTATAACGTGAGATGTGCTTTCACTTGTGTAATGGAGTGGTAATGGAAAACCACAACGATATCAGTGCTGGTGAAATGAACATTGTCGTGTATGGACATATTGAATATTGTCGTGTATGGACATATGCACAGAAATAGTCGTCATTCAGTGAATGTAACAAGATCTAGGCCTCAGTTATTGCAGGCAAGCTTTTGGCAAAGGAAGTTATTTGAGAATAGGAGCCAAATGTAAATAATGGGAAACTAACAGAAAAGTTATTTTGCTGCTAGCAATACAATAACTACACTGTAGACACTGTAATTGCAAGTTACATCACTGCTAGCAATACAATAAATACTGTAGTTATTTGTAAAGCACATTCTAAAATTTGATAAACTAGTTTTTGCTTTACATTCGATGTACAGCATCAAAAAGCACAAACTAGGAGTTGATCGTGAGTTCAAGTTTGGGACAGACTACAAGCTAGTTAATTACAAGTTGGGTGACAGTTAGCACCTCTTCATAAGACTGCTGGAAGGTTTGCCACAAGTCCTGCAAGATGTGAAGCTTGCCAAAAAAATGTTTGCCACGCATCACAAGTGCTGCCCTGGTTAAACTATCACACTGCACTCAATGTTATGTACAAATATAAACACAATGCCAATTCATAACATATGCCAAAGAAAGTAGTAAATGATTCATAATAGAGAATTAAAAGCATATAATAGAAATTATCATCAATAAACTTGCATTATCTTGACACTGTAAGAAAATTAAATATGGAGTGTCCATGATAACAAATCCCATATTAGATGCCATAAAATACCACCCGCTTTACATTTTATATTTTGGGGCACTAATGCACAAATATGTGATTACGCGAGTGTACACTGTGTATATGCACAGACAACTGTACACTCATGTACAACTGTGTGCAGGCATACCAATTTTATAGTTAGTCTACCTAAATTACAAATACAGCTATAGCATGAAAAATCTAACTGCAATCTTGTATTTCCCTTTCATAAAGCTACCATGGCTACTCCAGTTCTACAATGAGATATACAAAGTAAAAAAAACATGCAGTTCTCAAAGTTACAGTAGTGTAGCAAAAATTCACACATACTACACGTCCATATTATGATCATTCCAGTCCATCCTAATAGGATGCATTCAAACTGATGCCAAAGTACAGTGAAATCATAAGAACTTTTCAGCAGATGTTTTGTGAAGGTCCTTATTCGAGTCATTGCCTTCATACAGCCCCAGATGTTAGAAATATTCTTCAGAAAATATTCAAATACGAAGGTGTTATAACTTCCTGAATACCCAGTTACAGAGTTCAATGATACGAGATGGCCATTTGGTGATGAGCTGAACGAGACTAACGTCTGATATTACACAATGTTAGGATTACGCGATCTTGTCATATATGGCACACTAACGTTATGCTCAGGTGCTAACCTTCATGACTAATTTTTTTTCAGACTCACAGTAATACAACAAAATGGAAATCAATTAAAATATTCCCTACATTCTAAGGACAGCTTGTGAATAGTATTTGAAAAAATACATAATTAAACATCATTAAAAGTTCTTTCAAAGAAATAACTGATAATTCAAACAAGCAACAAATAACAGGGATGCCAAAGTGCACAAATAGTGACATATTAGCATAATAATGGTGGTAGTTGTCTAGCACAATCAGTTTTTGCAGAAGTGCACAGCATAAGTTAAAAGATTTACCATTTTCGTTATGCACCCCGGCGAAGTAATGGCTAACTGCAGAGACTGCTGAACTACCAGCCCGAGTTTGATCCCCAGAGCTGGACACGGGCACATAGTTCACCCAGCTGTTGATCCTTCCTTCAGGTGGGTAGATAAATAGGTACCAACTTATGTTGGGCAGCAAGCACCACTGCAGTAACAGGACTAGCTAGCCAACAGCATCATGACTTAGCTCGAATTACTTAAAAGTATGTAGGTCTGAGGCCCTAGACCATTAGTAACAGGTCTACGAAGGAGTAGTATTACTGTACTATTACTGTTGTTGACTTATGCTTGACTTCTCAACATAAAGCATTGCTGCCACAATAATAACACAAAGCCAAAATAAAAATTATTTATATATATTTATGAATTATTACATCTACACTTCTGAATAGACACATCTGAAGGTCAGTGAGTCAGAGGCATGACTGTAGATAACTTAAATACAATAAGCTGCAAGTTATTATGTATGTATGCATGCATATGGATGAGATTGTATTTATTACATCGTTAGCCTTTTCTCTAGTGTATCAAGCAATACTTAATTGGTTATTCAAATGTTCAACACAAGAGTTAAAAGCAACTAAGTGTGATAAAGAGCTACAGATATAAACTCTTCTACTTTATGTCTGGTCCAGAATGATAAACGATAAACAATTTACACACTTCTTCAAAGTATGGTTAGACAGGTAGTGGTATAAGTGATGGTTGCATAGATAATGGTATGAGATACATACAAAGAAATACAATTGCAATACTACTTTTTAAGAGTTGTATTTTGACATTCTGGTCATATAGTGGGCTTTACCAAGTGTCATGATAAAGAAAGCCCACTGCATCAGCAAAACATCATCCATAAAAGATTTCAAAACAGTACAGTACTTTAGTGGTCTTTCACTGGTAATGTTAGGTGGGTGGAGTGGGTAGATGGTGAGGTGCACAAATGTTATAGTAATAGCTGAATGTATCCCCCTACAGTATCAAATACAGTACATAGTTGTATTTGGAAGAGACTACTCAAAGCTCCTGGCCATACCTCAGTTGCTGTCAACCAGCTTAACCAATTCCTGGCATCTAGGAACTGATCATACATACTTACTTAGCCTTTTTTGCACTCGCTCATTATGCTCAAACTGAAAATTTATTGTCTTATGTTCCTGTGAATCATCTGTGTCTTTAATTGACATTTCCCTGACATTTATTTCTCTCTCTCTCCTCTCTGCACCTCACTCTGTTCCCAGAGTATTTTGAACTTCATAATCATAGCCCCTTTGGCTCTCTACTCTTCTAGGATTGTTATGGTAGGCTGAATTCCTTAATTTTTTCTTCAGTCCATTTACCCTGATGTAATTAACTATTCATAGTTACAGGAATAGTTATGCTAATGACATCTCATCTTAAAGGCATTTAGTTTGTTATAGAAACTACCAAAATTTCAGTGGCTGTACCATTTATTACCTTTTGGATTAAATTTCACTGAAGCAATCTACAATTAAAATTGTGAAAATCTACTCCTGGCGTTCTTTTGGCATCATCCTTTGTGGCTTGGTACTGTACTCCAAAATAACCCATATAATTGTTTTCATAGTTTTCTTTTATTTTAAATGTGATTATCATCTCCTAGGTAGTAGGTTGGTAGACAGCAACCACCCAGGGAGGTACTACTGTCCTTCCATGTGAGTGAAACGGAAGCTTGTAATTGTTTTACATGATGGTAGGATTTCTGGTTTCTTTTCTGTCTCAAACATGCAAGGTTTCAGGTACATCGTGCTACTTCTACTTACACTTAGGTCACGCTACACGTGCATGAACAAGCATACACTATATACACACACCTTTCTGGGTTTTCTTCTGTTTTCTTACTAGTCCTTGTTCTTGCTTATTTCTGCTTATCTCCATGGGGAAGTGGAACAGAATTCTTCCTCCGTAAGCCATGATTGTCATAAGAGGTGATTAAAATGCTGGGAGCAAGGTGCTAGTAACCCTTTCTACTGTATATATTACTAAATTTAAAGATAGAAACTTTTGTTTTTCTTTTTGGGGCACCCTGTCTCAGTTAGATATGGCAGGTTTGTAGAAAGAAAATTATCATCATCCCTTTCCATCTTATTACCTAAGAAAGAAATTGTCCTTATTTTGTCTTTAAACTCTGGGAAGTCACTGTATTGTCTATAATATACACTCGTGGTGCATATTATGATACTGGTCTACCTGCCTACATGTTAATTGCTCTAGAAGTCATTACCCACCATAGCACAGTCTCAGATCAGACCTTCTGGGTGACAGTGTGATCAGTCTGGCTATTGATGCTAAAAGCACACAACTCACTGTAAACCACTACAGCCAAGTTAATCAGAAATATTCCTCTAGGCAGTTCCTAATTCCATCTTGAAGATATGAAGAGATGTTGATAATTCCCTTTATTTTTTTTTTTTTTTTTTTTTTTTTCAACAAGTCGGCCGTCTCCCACCGAGGCAGGGTGACCCAAAAAAGAAAGAAAATCCCCAAAAAGAAAATACTTTCATCATCATTCAACACTTTCACCACACTCGCACATTATCACTGTTTTTGCAGAGGTGCTCAGAATACAACAGTCTAGAAGCATAAACATATAAAGATACACAACATATCCCTCCAAACTGCCAATATCCCAAACCCCTCCTTTAAAGTGCAGGCATTGTACTTCCCATTTCCAGGACTCAAGTCCGACTATATGAAAATAACCGGTTTCCCTGAATCCCTTCACTAAATATTACCCTGCTCACACTCCAACAGATCGTCAGGTCCCAAGTACCATTCGTCTCCATTCACTCCTATCTAACACGCTCACGCACGCTTGCTGGAAGTCCAAGCCCCTTACCCACAAAACCTCCTTTACCCCCTCTCTCCAACCCTTTCGAGGACGACCCCTACCCCGCCTTCCTTCCCCTATAGATTTATATGCTTTCCATGTCATTCTACTGTGATCCATTCTCTCTAAATGACCAAACCACCTCAACAACCCCTCTTCTGCCCTCTGACTAATACTTTTATTAACTCCACACCTTCTCCTAATTTCCACACTCCGAATTTTCTGCATAATATTTACACCACACATTGCCCTTAAACAGGACATCTCCGCTGCCTCCAACCGTCTCCTCGCTGCTGCATTTACCACCCAAGCTTCACACCCATATAAGAGTGTTGGTACTACTATACTTTCATACATTCCCTTCTTTGCCTCCATAGATAACGTTTTTTGACTCCACATATACCTCAACGCACCACTCACCTTTTTTCCCTCATCAATTCTATGATTAACCTCATCCTTCATAAATCCATCCGCCGACACGTCAACTCCCAAGTATCTGAAAACATTCACTTCTTCCATACTCCTCCTCCCCAATTTGATATCCAATTTTTCTTTATCTAAATCATTTGACACCCTCATCACCTTACTCTTTTCTATGTTCACTTTCAACTTTCTACCTTTACACACATTCCCAAACTCATCCACTAACCTTTGCAATTTTCTTTAGAATCTCCCATAAGCACAGTATCATCAGCAAAAAGTAACTGTGTCAATTCCCATTTTGAATTTGATTCCCCATAATTTAATCCCACCCCTCTCCCAAACACCCTAGCATTTACTTCCTTTACAACCCCATCTATAAATATATTAAACAACCATGGTGACATTACACATCCCTGTCTAAGACCTACTTTTACCGGGAAGTAGTCTCCCTCTCTTCTACACACCCTAACCTGAGCCTCACTATCCTCATAAAAACTCTTTACAGCATTTAATAACTTACCACCTATTCCATATACTTGCAACATCTGCCACATTGCTCCTCTATCCACTCTATCATATGCCTTTTCTAAATCCATAAATGCAATAAAAACTTCCCTATCTTTATCTAAATACTGTTCACATATATGCTTCAATGTAAACACCTGATCTACACATCCCCTACCCACTCTAAAACCTCCTTGCTCATCCGCAATCCTACATTCTGTCTTACCTCTAATTCTTTCAATTATAACCCTACCGTACACTTTTCCTGGTATACTCAGTAAGCTTATTCCTCTATAATTTTTACAGTCTCTTTTGTCCCCTTTCCCTTTATATAAAGGGACTATACATGCTCTCTGCCAATCCCTAGGTACCTTCCCCTCTTTCATACATTTATTAAACAAAAGTACCAACCACTCCAACACTATATCCCCCCTGCTTTTAACATTTCTGTCATGATCCCATCAGTTCCAGCTGCTTTACCCCCTTTCATTTTACGTAATGCCTCACGTACCTCCCCACACTTACATTCTGCTCTTCTTCACTCCTAAAAGATGGTATACCTCCCTGACCAGTGCATGAAATTACTGCCTCTGTTTCTTCCTTAACATTTAAAAGTTCCTCAAAATATTCTCGCCATCTACCCAATACCTCCATCTCCCCATCTACTAACTCCCCTACTCTGTTTTTAACTGACAAATCCATATTTTCCCTAGGCTTTCTTAACTTGTTTAACTCACTCCAAATTTTTTCTTATTTTCATTAAAATTTCTTGACAGTGCCTCTCCCACTCTATCATCTGCTCTCCTTTTGCACTCTCTCACCACTCTCTTTACCTTTCTTTTACTCTCCATATACTCTGCTCTTCTTATAACACTTCTGCTTTGTAAAAACCTCTCATAAGCTACCTTTTTCTCTTTTATCACACCCTTTACTTCATCATTCCACCAATCACTCCTCTTTCCTCCTGCCCCCACCCTCCTATAACCACAAACTTCTGCCCCACATTCTAATACTGCATTTTTAAAACTATTCCAACCCTCTTCAACCCCCCCACTACTCATCTTTGCACTAGCCCACCTTTCTGCCAATAGTCGCTTATATCTCACCCGAACTTCCTCCTCCCTTAGTTTATACACTTTCACCTCCCTCTTACTTGTTGTTGCCACCTTCCTCTTTTCCCATCTACCTCTTACTCTAACTGTAGCTACAACTAAATAATGATCCGATATATCAGTTGCCCCTCTATAAACATGTACATCCTGGAGCCTACCCATCAACCTTTTATCCACCAATACATAATCTAATAAACTACTTTCAT